GTCGGGGCGCGGCGTTCTCCTGCGGCCCCGGTTGATCCCGGCGCGGCCTCCGAGCCGGGAGCGGGTTGTGGCCGGGCGGCTGAGGAGCCGGGCCCGGAGAGGCGGCTGCCGGGCTGGCGCGAGGCCGCGGCGGGGGCCGGCCTCGGGAGCCGCGTTTCGAGGGTCGCCCTTCTTCCCGCAGGTGCTCCTGGCCGCCGCCGTCTGCACGAAAGCGGGAAAGGCGATCGTGTCGCGGCAGTTCGTGGAGATGACGCGGACGCGCATCGAGGGGCTGCTGGCGGCCTTCCCCAAGCTGATGAACACGGGGAAGCAGCACACGTTCGTGGAGACGGAGAGCGTGCGCTACGTCTACCAGCCCATGGAGAAGCTGTACATGGTGCTCATCACCACCAAGAACAGCAACATCCTCGAGGACCTCGAGACGCTCCGGCTCTTCTCCCGGGTGGTAAGTGGGGCGGGGGGCGCGCTCCCGCGGCCTTCGGTCCGGGCCGTCGCAGAGGGCGGGCGGCTCGGCGCTGGGTGCGAGGAGACGAGCGCCTGCGCCTTTTTTCCTCGCCTGTCCAGATCCCCGAGTATTGCAGGGCGCTGGAGGAGAACGAGATCTCAGAACACTGCTTCGACCTCATCTTTGCTTTTGACGAGATCGTTGCCCTCGGCTACCGGGAAAACGTCAACCTGGCCCAGATCCGGACCTTTACGGAGATGGATTCTCACGAGGAGAAGGTCTTCAGGGCTGTTCGTGAAGTAGGTCGAAGTTTCCCTATGGCCTTCCGTGGAACGTTGCGGGTCGTCTATTCTGCTTTCGGTCGAAGCTGTTTGCCTTTTTGAGTTTATCTGAAGAACTGACTTTGCGTCTCTTTTCTCCCGTCTTCTTCCAATCTCTTGCACTCAAGACCCAAGAACGAGAAGCTAAGGCTGAGATGCGCCGGAAAGCCAAGGAGCTGCAACAAGCACGCAGGGATGCCGAGCGGAGGGGCGCCAAAGCACCAGGATTTGGGGGCTTTGGTAATTCAGCTGTATCAGGAGGAACCCTTGCAGCTATGATCACCGAAACTATTATTGAGTCAGACAAGCCAAAGATGACTCCGGCTCCAACAAGGTGGGTCATTTCTCTTGGTGGATGAGATGCGTTGCAAGGGAGCGCTCGTGGGCCTCTGTGCAAAAAGAATACGGTGTAATCTTTCTTTGTTGTTAAGCATATGCTCGCTTCTTTATTTGTATAAAGACTCAAAACAGCTTACAGTAATTTAAAAATGCTAAATAACTAACACGAAAACAACATTAATCAAGTTCAAGTAAGGTAGCATGAAGTGCTCCCCTAGTTTGGACCTGTAGCAGATACTTTGACGTGCTAAAGCTTGGGAAGTTCCCAACAGTTCCTTGGGATGTCTCTCATCTGAAGGATACGGGTGGCATATCAACAGGTCTTCATTTTTGTCTTGGCCAAGCGGGCAGTGCAAAACACGGGAAGAAAAGAGTGATCTTGCTGCGTTTTTCACTTGGGCAAAAGGTCTTATATACTTTGCTTTATTTGTTTAGACCCTCTGGTTCAAACAAGGCGCTTAAGCTTGGCACAAAAGGGAAGGAAGTGGATAATTTTGTGGATAAACTAAAATCTGAAGGCGAAAATATCATTGCTTCTTCGGTTGGGAAGCGTTCCTCAGATGCAGCAGCTGTTCTTGCTCCGCCTATTAACATGGAGAGGTACGTGTATCACCCAGTAATGCAGAAAAGTAAAGAGAATCACACAATATCTTGCATAGCAGAAACCAGCTTTTTGTTCTTGGGGGAACTGGCCTAAGCCCGTCCCTAGAGGAAGCCTCGTCTTCTGGAGAGCAAACATCATTTGCGGACTTTCAAGCAGGACCTCAGTAGGCAGATGGTTTTTCTGGTACAGTTTTGGCTGAGAGCGCATATCATGTTAAGCTGACTTTTTAACTATACTTTATTGACTGAATCATAGTGGTCTAGTTCAGCGTTGTTAGATCTTAGCTATTATCTGTAGCTAAGATCTAAGCTACAGATAATAAATCAATATGCTAAACCATAAGGAAACCAATCACATTACGGGTTAGCATGATGCTGTTTGGGGACATTCGAGCTTTTAGTGAACTTGTAAGGGGTAAGGCTGTAATATACGGTGATAGTGTGGCTCTCCCAAGGCAGCAGGGCTGCAGAAGGAAATAAGCTATGTAGAAAGGGTTAAGTACAAAAACTGCAAACGGGTATCTTCCTGCAAGGGCCGAGAGGTCTTAATTGGAAGGAAGGAGGCATCTAACATCCTGTGACCCAGGGTTCTCCTTTCTTCTAGCGTGCATATGAAGATAGAGGAGAAAATCTCACTGATCTGTGGTCGGGATGGGGGGCTACAAAACATGGAGCTGCACGGTATGATCATGCTGCGGATCCTGGATGAAAAGTTTGCTCGGATTTGCATCCATGTTGAGAATGAGGACAAAAAAGGTGTGCAGCTCCAGGTAAGGTTAGTTGGAGGTAGGGACATTATTTTGAGCTGTGCGCATCTATTCTGGGGTGGAGTGACGTAGCTGACCGGTTGCTCTCTGTTCAGACTCACCCCAATGTCGACAAGAAGCTTTTTATGTCAGAGTCCTTGATTGGCTTGAAAAATCCAGAGAAGTCATTCCCCATCAATAGCGACGTGGGAGTGCTGAAATGGCGGCTGCAGACCACGGAGGAGTCTCTCATTCCACTGACGAGTGAGTGTTGATTCAGCTCAAGGAGTAGCATGCATCCGAGAGGCAAAAGCCAGCCACTTATTGTTCTACTATTGTTCCTGTTGAGAATTTTCAGGCCTCTTTCTCATGTGGTTTTTTTTTCGGTCCTAGTTAATTGCTGGCCCTCAGAAAGCGGCAACGGTTGCGACGTCAACATTGAGTATGAACTGCAGGAGGACAGCTTGGAGTTAAATGATGTGGTAATCGCCATCCCCTTGCCGTGAGTAACTGTCCCGCCTGCCGAGATCCATCCCGCCAACCAGCACCACCCATGTTGGTTCTGGGGTAGTGGAGAGTTCAGAGCTAACTCATTGCTGATTGTCTAGGTCTGGTGTGGGGGCCCCTATAATTGGAGAGATTGACGGGGAATACCGCCACGATAGCCGAAAAAACCTCCTCGAGTGGTGCTTGCCAGTGGTAGATGCCAAAAACAAGAGCGGCAGCTTGGAGTTCAGCATTGCTGGGCAACCAAATGACTTCTTTCCTGTGCACGTTTCCTTTGTCTCCAAGAAGAATTTTTGCAACATCCAGGTGGGTCTTGTGGTTGAACGGCAGCTCTGTTTCTCTGCCCTGCCTGGAGATTTTCAGAGTCCTTTTTGACACTGGAGAAAGTTGCGTATCAGGGCAAACACGACCTTCTGTTTTCACCAAAATGGGAGTAGGCAGAACAGGTGCTTCTCCACTTAATGGTGTCCTGCGCCTCTTCGTGGCCTGTCTAGTGCAGCTTCCTCAGGCTGCTCCTGTCATTTGCCAAGAGTAAAACTTCAATGGCTTTATTGGTGCGCAGGGAGGTCAGGGGCAGTGATCAATAGCAGGCCTTGCCTCATTGCAAGCATTAGAAAGCTGTCCTTCCCTGGAACAGCAGCAAGGCCTCTTCCCAACTGACCACTTTGCTTTCTTTCTGCAGGTCACCAAAGTGACCCAGGTAGATGGGAACAACCCTGTGAGATTCTCCACGGAGACCACCTTCCTCGTGGACAAGTATGAGATCCTGTAACCCTGCTGAAGGGAAGCAGCAAGCAAGGCCAGGGCTGTGCTATTTAGAGAAAGAGCTGCAGCCTTCAGCATCAGGGAACGTTGACATTCGTTTGCCCGCTGACCTTATTTCCTGGGTCCTGGCTACTCAGGCAGGGAGAGGCTGCCTGCTTCTCTGGCACAGCTGCCCCACCTAGGCAGGCGCCTCCTCCCCCACACCCATCCCTTTTGTTCATGGAGGGTATCCCTGGATGCCCTGCTGGTTCCAGCTGATTACACCAATGCAGCAGCAAGGAGACCGCTAGCATGGGAGGGAAACGGGGGCCAGCAGGCCCTCCCTTTTCCAGTGCTCTGCAGACCTTGCCGATCAATCTGATCCCGAACGAGGGTGGAGGAAGCTTTCATGCTTGTGCAGCTCTCGCCTGAAAGCTCCTCCCTTCTCTTACCGTTTTCTTGAACTCAGTGCCCATCCAGAAAAATAAGGAGCAGCTTTTTCTCTGGGTTTGAGATCCTGGAAATCTTGGTTCAGGGGAGGGCCAGCACTGGGCCCCTTGAACGCATTGGGTTGTGCTCGCCTGCTGGAGAAGACACCGGCCTCTCCCATGCCCCCGCTTTTCTAATGTGACTCTTTCCAAAGTGCCCTGGGTGGGGGCTCTGAATCATACTGATTGGAGATTTGTCTGTCTGATTTTTAAAATGGGGTTCAATTTAATTCTATTGTCAAATGCAATTTATTCTCAAATTATATTGAGGGTGACACTGAAATAAGGTTTTGGAACCCTGTAAAATAATTAGTTACAGTCTGTATAACACATTCCAGTGTATGCGAAGAATCGTTGCTCCTAAATCCAATAAAGAGTATTCTAAAAGGAAACATTGAGCTGTTTAGCTACCTCAACAGGCGAGGGCTGATCATTAGTCCTGATATGTCGCTCCAAGAGGGAATCACTGTAGGAGAACACACGTGCTTCAGGTGGGCTCCTGTTCAGAGTTCTGGGGGAAGAAGGCTTAATTATCAGTAACGCTGTTTTCCTAGTGGTTTAATTCTGGCCTGCCTGTTTTGCCTCTGATGGTCATTCTGGGTGATCATCCAATGACAAAAGATGCCCCAAAATCTCTCTCACTTTTCCTTTTTTAAAAAAAAGGTTTTTAGTCCTTCAAGTGAGATCTATGGGATAGAAACTTCCTAAAATTGCTAGCCTTGTGTGTATAAATACAGACAATGAAATTCTCTGCTGTTGGACTTGCTTCCTATTCAGTGAAACGCTGAGGAAGAGCTTAATGCAGCCGCTGTTTTGAAATGAAAGCTGCTGGGGGGTGGGCAGGGAGATTCAGTCATATTTTCGAGAAACTGAATGAAGGAGCCCCTCCCCAAGACGTGGGACCCACCAGGAATGAGAGAGAAGGCAGCAACTGCCACCGGCCCAGCCCTCGGGACTGTGAAGGAAGCTGGCAGGGGAGGCTCAGGGCAAACTCTGCCCGTTGCTGCCCTGTTTTTGTTGCCTGTTGGAGGCTATGGACAAGGATGGAAACAGTGAGGAGTGCAAGGGTCAAGGAGAGCAAGAGCAACTGGGCGGGTCCTTTGTTAGCTGCACCTTCCCTAAGCAGCCATCTCTGGAAAGCAGTACTGTACATCCAAGAGGCAGGACGAGGCAGCTGCCGGCACGTGTTGATGCTGCGGGGGACCCACGGGGTGGAGGGAGGGGCCGCTGCTGCTGTCACATCCTTGCATCTTTCCTGCTGCCGAACTCAGCCTTGCACAGCAGAAGGGTCTTCCCTTCTCACTTGCCTTTTTCCAGTCACTATTGCAAGGGAGGGGTGTGGACAAAACTACTGTTGACTGGCTGTGCTCACACTATTTTTTTTCAAAAGTTTACTGCTTTCTGCAGTATGTTTTAAGGATTACAATAAAACAGTAATAAAAAGTTAGTATAAAACAGTTGTGTGCAAAAATTGAGGTATAACTGAAGTCCTATGAGCAGAAGTTAACACAACCTCTGCGTAGTACAAAATCTCAGAATTCTGCAAATTTGCATACTTACTATTTATGTGCAATTATTGACAGTTTCAAAATAAGAAAACTCAATACGGTAGGTGCAGAAGATCAGACACTCAGTACTTTGTAATACCTTTCCAAACATTTCCTGTTGCCTATCGCTGTTGGAATTTCTTCCTTGCAGAACTTTTTGTTGTTGTTTAGTCGTTAAGTCGTGTCCGACTCTTCGTGACCCCATGAACCAT